GGGTCGCTATGAATCGGGTCCGACTTGATGGCACATAACAACAACAACAGGACTTCCAGTCTGGTCTTGAATAGCAGTGATGAGAGAGGGCTTCCTTGACTTGATCCTGATCATAAGGGAAAAGCTCTTAGTCTTGATCCATTCAGTGTGATGTTCACTGTGTGTTTTCCATAACTCCCCTTTGTCAGATTGAGGAATTTCCCTTCTATTTCTAGCTTATTGAGTGGCTTTTGTTACGAACGGGTGTTGGATTTTGTCAGATGCTTTTTCTGCATCAGTTGCGGTCCTCATGTGTTTCTTCTCCTGTGTTCTGTGGACGTGTCACTGGTTGATTTTCTGATGTTGAACCACGCTTACTTACATGGCTCGGCTAAATCCCACTTGGTCATGGTGGATAATCCTTTTAATATGCTTTTGGGTTCAGTTTTCTAGTATCTTATTGAGGATTATTGCATCTATTTGTTGGTCTGTGGTTTTATTGTCAGGCCTGGTGTTAGGAAAATGCTAACTTACAGAATGAGTTAGGAAGTATTCCCTCCTCTTCTATTTTTTGGAAAATTTTAATAAGAAATGGAGTCACTTCCACAAATGTTTGGTAAAATTCCAGACCTCACTATTTAGAACTGCATTGTATTTCACCATGTTCTAGTTACCTAGTGCCACTCTGACAAGAAAATACCACAAATGGGATGGCTTGAACACACAGGAGTTTATTCTCTTACAGTTCGGGAGGCTAGAAGTCCGAGTTCAAAGTGCCAGGCTCTAGGGGCTGTGTGAAAGCCCCTCAACCTTGGGCTTCAGCTCTGCCTCTTGCTCCCGGCCCACTGAAGCTAGAGGCATCTCTTCACTCAGGCAGCTACTTGCTGCTGAGGCTAACAAGCCCAAGGTGGACAAATAAAATGGCACAGTCCTGATGTTACCAAACCACATGGCAGGCCATTAATTCAAGTCCATTGAAAGTCCCAAGGTCAGCAGAGCATAGCAGGCTCCTGAACAACAAACGACTTGGCTACATGCAGAGTCCAAGCGTGCCATATGCTAGAGACTATCCCTAAGGTTTCTCCTTATATAAAGGAAGCAGACTACATCCCTAAGGCAGCTACTCAGCTGCTCACAGTAGATCACACCATGGAGTTGATTACCAGTCTCATCATGGGGAATACTCCATCCAGCTGCCCAGCCACTCAACCAGGCCCAGCCAAGTTGACGCATAACCTTAACCACCACACAGCATATGGATGTGTCTTCTTTTATTTTGTAAGTTTCCAACTGATGGACAGTTAGGGTTTTCCCATTTGTATTGGTTTCCTGGGGCTAGCATAACAAAATACCACAAATTGGGCAGCTTATGTAATAACTGAAACTTATTGTCTCACCATTCTGGAGGCCAGACGTCCAAATTAGGCTATTGGCTGTGTTGGTTCCTTCTGAGGACTCAGAGAGAATCTGTCCCATGCTTCTCCCCTAGCTTCTGGTAGCTCTAGGCATTCCTTGACTTGCAGTTGCAACATGACAGGGTGTTTTCTTCAGTCTTCCTGTCTGTCTATCTTCTCTTTTATGAGGACACCAGTCATATAGGGTCAGGACCCACCCCACCTAAAGTATGATCTCATGCTAACCTAACTAACAGCATCTTCAAATCCCCTATTGCTAAACAGGGTCACATTCACAGGTACAGGGGTGAGGATTCAAATATCTTTTGGGGAGGAGACACAATTCAGTCCATCACATCAGCTTTTGCATTACAAACGGAGCTGCAGGGAGTCTCTCTGTGCATGCCTCTCACCCACATGTGCAAGGGCACCGTAGGATAGCATCCACAAGTGGAACCCCTGCATCCAGCTGGGGTCCACACCGAACGTTTTAAATTTGCACACTGGCAAACTGTCTCATGACTTCATGTCTCCTGTGGTGGTTAAGGTCAGGTGTCAACTTGGCTGGGCCTGGTTTTGAGTGGCTGGGCAGCTGGATGTAGTTATTCCCCATGATGAGACTGGTAATCAACTCCACAGTGGAATCTGCTTCGAGCAGCTGAGTAGCTGCCTTAGGGGGTGGTCTGCTCCCAGTATATAAGAAGAAGCATTGAGAAAGGGCTCTGGAGCTTTTGGGCATGCTTGGACCCTGCATGTAGCCGAGTCTTCATCTCAATGGCCCGCCATGTTGTCTGCTGCTCTTGGGACTGTTAACAGACTTGAATTAGTGGCCTGCCATGTTGCTTGATAATCCTGGGACTGTGCCATTTTACTTGCTGACCTTGGGTTTGTCAGCCTCAGCAGCCAGCAGCTTTCTGAGCCAAGAGATGCCTCCAGTTTCAGTGGGCTGGGAGCAAGAGGCAGAGCTGAAG